GGAGGCGCAAGGGGAGGGACGTAGATATGAACAGTGGGAACCAGGGGCCTGGATGTAAGGGATGTAGGGGTGGCCATCTCCCCGCAGTGGGGAAGACCCTGCGTCCCTGCTCTGGGCCAAGTTGCCCCAGCCAAAGCGCAGGGGAACCAGGCTGGGGTGGGGAGAGGACTACTTGTGGGGACAGAAGGTGAAGCTTGGGAGGCCAGGCTGGGGCTCCCGGGGCCCAAACCCACTTTGGCCCTGCCGCCCCCACCTGCAGCGCAGCCCAAGGCCAGCGCGTCACTCCCAGCGGAAGCGCCGTGCCGCCGGGGCGTCTAGCGAGGTGCGCGCCTCCGGGTCCCTGTTCCAACGCTTCGCATGTCTCAGACGAACAGGGGCGGGGACAAGGTGGCACCTACCCGGATCTGCGACTCCAGCGCCAAAGACCACAAGCCAGTCCGGACGGCGCCCTGGGGCCACTGGTGCAGAGGAGCAGAGCAGACAGAGCCAGGGAGGCGGGAGGCGCCGCCGCCGACTCGACAGTGCGTCCCAGGTCAGTGTGCAGCGCCGTCTCTGCAGGCTGCACTTGGGGAAACTTTGGTTTGCCGTGTTGCCTGCCGGGAGGAGGGCACCCAGGGCGGCCTCTATGCACCGCGCCTGGTGCGTTTAGGCCCTGGGAGCCCGCACCTCCAGCGCACCCTGACACTGCAGTGCCCCGAGTGGCGAGCGAGACCCGGCGCCAGGAGAGGGTCCCCGGGCTGCAGGGGCCTGTCCCGGGCTTTGCGGCGGCTCGGGCTTGAACCCCACCGGGATGTGGGTTTCGCCTTCTTCTCTCCCTCGCCGCGCTTGGGGATGGATGAGGCTGCCCGCGGCCGCGGGATGTCTGGGTGGGTCTGGGCAGGGGCCTCGCGGGCGCGGGTCGGCGCCGCAGCGGGAGCGGCGCGCGCTCGGCCTTTGGGGCGCGCGTGCCGAAGGGTCAGACTTGGACACGTTTCCGCAGGTGCCTCGGGCGGCCGGGCTGTGGGAGGTGCAGGGTGAGCGCGGAGGGCGGGCTGGGGGCTGCGGGGCCGTTTGCTGCCACTGGCTCGACAAATGGGAACCACACAGGGGCTGGCAGCCGGGTCCTGGCGCCTCTCGGGCGCGCACAGCTTTGGCACCAGGACCCCGGACCTCCTTACGGGAGAGCCGGAGTCCAGAGATGTGCCTGCCCTAGGATGGGGGCAATGACTGCTCCCCTCGGGCGAGCCGTTTCCCAAGGGAAGGCCGCGTCCTCCCGGCGGGCGGCGCGGGGACCGCCCCGCAGCGACTCTGGGCTGAACCAGAGTGGATGGTGATCGCCTCGGCCCGCCGGCTTGGCTCAGAGATGAGGTGGCGAAACGCGTACCCCGCCCCCATCGGCACCCTGGTGCTGTCGCCCCAATCACCTTCCTTTGCCCTTCTCCAACAGCACCTCGGGCTTGCTCCCTGCTGCGCTCGGGAAAAACTGAGGAAACGAGCTGGTTCCCAGAGGCGGCGGGGACCGTGGAGACGCTGCCAGCATCCTCCACAGCTTGGAAACCCATCACCTTGGTTCCCTGAGACTTGAAGGTGTAGGTTTGCGTGCCCGTCTGTCTATATTCTGGGAGTTGGGGGGGGGGGTCTGCTGAAAGAGGTGGGGGTGTGGCTGGCCCAGGGCCCAGCAGCCCCAGAAGCCTGGAGGCAGTGGAAGAAACTGGGAGAAGACACCAGCCCTTTTGGGGTATGTATGGGAAATACAGCAAACCTTACCAGCTACTCCTCTCCTTGGGCAGTTTCTAATTATTTCTTACAAGCCGATACCCCGGGGGAACACTTTTCCTGGTAAGTCATTCCATTTCCCGGGACAGTCTCTGATTCATCTTTTGTTCTGGCCCTGGCCCTTACCTTGCCTGGGGAGGAGACATTTTGCTTGTGGCAGGCAGGCTTGCCTCATTCCAAGTGTAGCTGGCCTGCACATCCTGGCCTTGGGCTGTCCTCTGGGACTCTGGATTTTTGCCGCTCTGTCTGGGAAGGACAGGGAAGCCCACCTCCAGTCCTTGGTCCATTCCAACCCAAGGCTGTACGTTTCTCTGGGTCTGTGGGCTCCCTCTACCCACTCGAAGTTGAGCACCAGCTACCTGGAGACGATGACAGAGACAGCCTGGTGGGAGCCTGAGGCAGGGGTTGATAGTAAATAGGAAAACAGAATAAAGAATGAAGAGTTTGCCACAGATCTTCTCCAAATGTACATAGCAAGCACCCCCCATTGAATATCTGGGAGTGGAGCCTGGGATCTTATTTTTAACAAACTCTTCATGTGATTCTTATGCTCACGGAAAGTGAAGAGCCCATTGGTATAGGGGCCTTGGTCTCACATTGTCAGGCTCCACCAGCCTGGTGGACTCTGATTTAGTGATGCATGTTTAGAAATTGACATTTAAAAAAATTAATTGGCAAGTGTATTAGGATCTTTCAAATCCTCACAATCATCTACCGTAAAGATTTTATCCCCACTTTAGGGGTGAGGAAACTGGCTCAGAGGAAGGGCTTCCCAAAGGTGGGTAACTTGGGAAGACACAGACCAGACCGCAGGCCTCTGATACACAGCCTGCTGCCTCCTTCGAGCACTTTGTCCCTGTTTGGGCAGCACAAAGGCAGGGACTAGGGCAAGGGTGTGGGGCTGAATCTTGAGCTTGAAGCCCATTGGTTAACCTCCATCCCCTTGCTGCCCTCCCCCACCACTGCCAGACAGCTGACTTTTGGGAGAGAGCACCAATTTGGAGGAGTATGAGGCTCAAAGGAAAATAACATCTCTCTCCAAATGAAAGGAAAACTGGAGGTGGCACGGGGAGAAAAAGCCACAGGAAAGGCCAAGCCTATCATCTCTGAGATGCCTTTTAAAAGCACCTCAGCCCATGTAACACTGCAGTTAGATACCACATGAATCAGATACTCAAAGCAGAACCCTACTCTGTGGGAAGCTGGTGATCCAACAAGGAGACAGAAGAGAAAGGATACAGGAACATCTAAATAAGCCCTGGCGAGCAGGTGAGTGAGAGGAGTGACTGCGAGAGTTCTCTCACCTTACCTCTCTCAGCCTCTTCATCTGCACACAACGGGGGCGCTGACCCGCTGAGTGCCGAGACCCTCCCAGGGCCAGCAGTGTTTGCAGGGTAGGCTGTATCTTGCAGACACCCACAGGGTTGCCAGGCAGAGGATCCATTCCAGACACTTCTACAGACTGGTAATCAGCGAAATATGATTAACTGAAAAACACTGGAGGGATGTCTTAACAAGGAATGAAAAAATCTATAGACTCCAAATGGGAGAGATGCGTGCGACACATTATTGGTATTTATGTAACTCTGAATAGCTTTGATTTTTTCCTTCATAGGAACTGACAGCTGGCTGACAGAAAACTCATCCAGGGAGAGAAAAGACATAAGTGGAGTATGAAATTTTGAATAATGTTTTCAGGTAACTTTCTATTTCCATTTAGAGTGGGTGTCTGGAGGGGCGAATGTAGTTATGGTTTGAATTGCTTCATTTATCGACAGATATTTTCAACACGGCTCATAATTCTAAGATCCAGTGCTTTTTACTTCTTTTTCCTGGTTTCTGGTCTCCCAGTAGTAGGGCACAGAGCTGGGGGTGGGGTAGGGTGGGGGACCCACCATTCAGCCTGTAGACTCTCACTTTATTCCCATTTTCAGTAGGCTGCCTCCAAGTTTGGAGCCTTTCTGATCAGTCTGTTCAGAGAATAAATCTTTGTTTCCTTACCTAAAAGAGCAGATGTCTGCTACTTGAGGTGGGCTAAAGTACTGGGAGTCCAGTTGTTCTGTCCACAGATTTTGAGCCATCCTCTTCTTTCAGCCTTGTGTCTCATTGCCACTTGCTGTGTCACTTGGGGCCTCCACACCCTAAACTTCATGCGTCTTGTGGGTAAGCTCGCTGCCTTTGTATCTCCCTGGTGCTTCCTGGTCACAGCCTCTGCTGTGCTAAGGCAGTTTACTGTGCCACCATCCCCCTCTGTTTCCAAAGTTTGTTTGAAATTGCTAATCTGATATCTCTCCTCCAATTTTCCTTGTTCTTTAGACTATATCTTTTTAATTTTTTTAATAACTAAATGTAATTTTAGTGGTGTCTTGGGAGTAGAGGGAGGAACCAAAAGTGTGCTACATATGCCATGGTGAATTGCAAGTGATGTTAAAGACGTTCTAATTTTAAAATGAAAAGCCCTTTATCCAGCTGTTTAATAATTAATACTGTATAATAATTTGAAATTATTGTACTTGGAAATTACAAGGAAAATGCACTTAAAGGATGTCTTTCTTTCCGTATTTCCCTTAGTAGATTCCATTTATGTTTACAAAACATTACTTGCAGATCCTAAAAAAACATTTTAAGTCTTTTATCTATTATTTTAATAGGCTGTAGATTAGACACATGATAAAAAATAAAAGAAAGCTAAATTCTGAGATACATTTTTTTAAAAAGAAGAATGCAGCGAGTAGGCAGGCACAACAAGAAAGGCTTTTTCTAGACATGTCTGATTTCATCACCACACCCCGGGGGATGAATAGATGATTGTCCTTCCACAAATGAGGAATCAAGACCCTGAGAGGCTGCGAGACTTGAACAGGGCATTCAGCTAGTGAGTCGGGGGAGTCAGGATGGAAATCTGGGTGTGTCTGACCCCTGAACTTCCTCCAGTTGAACAGTGATCAATTTGGAAGGTGTAACTGAATGTGGGGATCATTGATAAGCGAGATTGTAACACAGGGGTCTGACTGAATGTGGAGACGGTATCAGCACTGGGTGCCCAGTGAGGATGTTTCACAGGAGACAGGAGGCCAGGACATTTCTGAACTAGGATAACTGGAGGCAAGAGAAGTGGTCTCATCAGAGGTAGGACTCACCTCTAGGAAGAGTAAATTTAAGTCAAACTTCAGTGTCAGCATTATTGGTGTGCAAATGGCTGAGGCCAGATATAAGAAGCAACTGAAAGGAATGAGGGCATGAAGACAAGGGGATTGTTCCGATAAGGCACTGATTACAAATGAGACACTAGGAAACCGAACACGTGCACATGTGGAAAATAAAGTTATGTGACAACTTTTTTCTCTGAAAAATTTAATGTTTAAACAATTTCAAAATCGCTGTACTAAATGTGAACAATTTAAAAAGTGAGCAATCCAGGGGGCTTTTATAACCAACAAAGAGTAAGCCTCGTGGAGTTGTTTTCGCTGGACGGTCCTCCAGTTCTTGGGAGAGGAGCTCTGCCTGTGTCCACAGAGCAGAAAGATTTGCTCGCTGCCATGAGCTAGTGGTGCCACTGCCCAGCTTCTCTGAGGCCCGGGAGCCCACAGCACCCTCCCTTTTCACAGGACTGTGTTCTGGCACTGCTCCCCTCAGGCACCCCAGCTGGCAGTGCATTGCCAGGCCCCTTCTTCTCCCAGAACCTCCTGACAACAACTTTGTTGAGAGAGTTTTGACAGAAAGTGGTCAGGTTTAGTGCTGTGGGGAAAGGCTTTTACATGAGGATAGATGAAAAGGTGGAAAGTCTTTCCAAAAGTTTCTTCTTAAGACTTAATTGAAAGATGGGAGGGAAGGAAGGAAGGAGGGAAAGAAGGAAGTAAGGAGGAAAGAAGAGAAAAGAAGAAGGAATTATAGACTAGAAAGTGATGTAGGCCCAAAAAAATGTTTTATTATATGAAAGTATAATATTAAAATGTGGCATCTGACAACTTGTTCTCATTTGAGTATTTGTTTCTCAAATGCTACTTTTGGTCAAAGATGTTTTATGTTATTGATACTGTATCTCTACTTGAATTACAGTTATAAGTGGTTTCTGTATTTAATATGTTTCCATTCATTTCTCTAAATCTCTTTATTAAATCCATTTGTACATGAAAAATGCTAAAAGAAGGTTTCTTTTGGATCACTGTCTCATGTGAGCTCTTTTCAGATGCCTTGCATTCAGAATAGTCCTCTGAGTTGGGACCCAAGCTGTCAACCTATCCTAAAATTCCTTAACTCCTGAGTTGCAGGTATGTCTGGCTCTGGAATTGCTTTTATAGAACATCGCACAGGGGACATAAAATCACAGCACTCACTTTCATTGTATTTATGTATGTGCATACTGAGTAGTTGCTCTTTGCTTAGCATCATGAATGATACTAACGTGGAAATGAGTGAGGATATTCTTTTGAATATTGCTTTTCAGGAGCTTACTAGTTAAACCTCCTTGAAAGTCTAGGTATAAACACTATTGATAATACCACAAAAACTGAATTATGTTTTAAAAAGTAAGACCTAATAAGACTCTTTATAAAATTTTAATTATATCCTACAAAAACGCCATGCTTTTTTCTGTATACATATTCTATTTTACAATAAATAGATAAAAGTAATATCATACGAGTATGTGAAATATGTACTGTTTAAAAATGATAAAATAGACATCCATATACATGCCACCCAGGTTGAGACATAGAACATTACCTGAACCTTAAAAGTCCCTGTGTCCCTCTCAAATTGTATTGCTCCCCCTACCCCCACCAAGAATAATTTTCTCTTGATTTTTGTGTTACTCATTCCCTCTGCTTTTTTCTCTTGTTTCCCATTTGTGTGATTCTTAAAGAAATTGTTTACTTTTGAAAAACTGGGTAGATAACCCAAAGTTAGACGAATAAAGAAAGGTCAATATTCCCAATACATGATGAAAGCTCTTGGGGGAAGATAAGCTGTACAGTCTCTGGATTGTAATTAACCTCAGCATCTCTGGGCAAGGAGCCCCTTTGGGCGAGGTCTTGAGTGAGCCCTGGGAAACGCGGGGCTCACCATTGCAGGGCTTCTGGCAGGGCTGCAGTGTAGACCAGGTGCTAGATAGCCAAAGGGAATGGCTGCTCATTCTTTCTCCTCCTATCCTCACCATGACTTAGCCCCAGATCTCAGAGCAGAACAGTGGAGCAGGGCTAAAATGAGTTCCATGGGCTGCCCCAGAGAGCTGGGCATGGAGGAGAGGGCAGAGGCATGGTCAGGACAAAGCAAGTGGATTAAAGAACTGAGGGCAGGCTCACCTGAGCATTTGGTCCTCAATGGAGAGAACAAGATGGTAAAATGGCAATATGATCTCAGAGATGATGTTTGTGACTGGTGTTATCATGGCATCTCCTCTCATCACCATCCAGGGGATTTTTGGTGCCTCTTCTAAGGATGTCCAGCCGCTGGTCTTTCATTTCTTCTTTCTTGTTCTACCATTTCATCTTGGTAAACGACATCTTCCAGTAGATTCTTGAGAGTGCATTCAATTCTTGACTGTTGATTTGGCTAGATCAGCGGTTCTCAACCTTCCTAATGCCGCGACTCCTTAATACAGTTCCTCATGTTGTGGTGACCCCCCAACCATAAAATTATTTTCGTTGCTACTCTATAACTGTCATTTTGCTACTGTTATGAATCATAATGTAAGTATCTTTTTTGTTTTCCGATGGTCTTAGGCGACCCCTGTGAAAGGGTCATTCGACCCCCAGAGGGGTCGCGACCCACAAGTTGAGAACCGCTGGGCTAGATATAGAATTCTAAGCTGGGAATCATTTGACCTTCAGATTTAAGAAAACAGTCCTCCATTGTCTTTCATTTTTGGTGTTATATCTGAATCCATTCTAATTTTTGATCCTTCGGTATGTGACTTGTCCACCCCCTTCCCCTACCTCTGGCCCCCAAGTTTACAGGATCTTCTCTCAGTGTTCTGGAAATGTATAATCACGTGCCATGGTCAGGGTCTGTTTTCATTCATTGTGCTATGTTCTAATTGGGTCCTTTCAATTTGGTAACTCATGTCCCTCGGGTCTAGAAAATGTTCTTGATCTCATTGACCATTTCCTCTCGTGCTCGCCTCTCTCCCCCACCCTCACTATTTCCTCTTGCTGGCACTTCTGTTAGCTGGATGTTGGATATCCTGGTCTAGTCCTCTAATTTTCTTATTTTCTCCTCTTCTGTTCATTTGGCTTAACTGTTATAGATTTTATCAACGTTACTATCCAACCCTTCTACAGAGTTTTGCAGTTTGTGTCATGTTTTTACCTTTTGAGAGCTCTTTTTATGGTCTCTGAATATTCTTTTTTCATAAAATCTTGTTTCATGGTGACAACATCTTATCCCTTTGAAGCTTTTGCAGTTTTCTTTTCCTGACTTATATCTGTTTCCTCCAAATTGCTTTTTTTTCTATTTGTTCTGGTTCTGTATTTTTAATGTAAGAGGCTCTTGTGTTTGTTTTTTGTTTTGACTATTTGCTCATGATCAAAGGGCTTGGATGAAAAAGCCAGTGAGAAGCCTTGAGCACATGGGTGAGGCTTGTCACCTTTGAGCCTCACTGTAGGAGATCTGGGTGGCATGTTGGGGAATGCCTGTGGTCATCTTCTCTCAGGCTGGTCAGATTCTTGAGAGAAGAGTATAGCAATTTTTGATAAAGGATAAGGGTGTGGCTGTCAGCCTTCTTGGAGCTGAGTTGGGCGAGAAGGCTGTGATGCCTTCATTCAGTGGTCAGTAGGTTATAAAATCACTTATTCCCGTTTTCTTGTCATCAAACATGCCCGGTGTCTCCCAGTCCAGAGATCCTGTTTCACATTTCTGGAGAATTAACCTCTGGACATCTTCTCGGGTAGAAAGGCAGTCTCCTTATCTCTTAGTGGCTGGGAATGGAGGAATGACCGGAGGCAGAACTTCTCAACCTTCAATGTACATACAAATCACTTGGGGGTCCAGTTACAAGGTAGGCTCTGACTCAGCAGGTCTAGGGTGGACCCTGAGATGCTGCATATCTAACAAGCTCAGGTAATGCTGCTGCTGCAGGTCCAAAGTAGGATCACACTTACGAGTAGCGAGCAGCTCTGCACTAGTCCTTCTTAAGTTAGCTGTACTCTCCACACCCCAGTTCTAGAGCTTCATGCTGTTGCCTCTTTCAAGGGTTCTGCAGGGTGACTGGGCCTAGTTCACAGCTTTACCACCAATGACTTGAGTCAGTTGGCAGAGTCAGTTACCACTGGGCCCCGCTGCGTCTTCTCTCCTTTTCCTGCTACCCTTGTGAGTTTATATCTTTTAAAAAATTCTTCAGTTTCAGGGGGTTTCAGGAAGGGGCAAAATTAGACGTGTGTGTTCTGCCATATTCATTCTAACTATAACCACCTGCTAAAACATTTTCCTAAAGTTTGGTTATATCAGCATAACTAGAGCCTGATGTATGATAAATAACTGTGCTGTTTTAAGACTCTTGGTCTTTGCACAAGGAGTAGTCTCTGCTTCTTTTTTCTTCCTTTGTCTGTCTGTGAAACTCCTATGCAGTCCTCAAGACCCAGTTCATGGCTAGCCTCTGTGAAACCCCCTTGAGTCCCCAAACCATGAAAGCCTGTGTGTTCTCATGACTCTAACTCATAACCCGTTGCTTATACAGTATCTCTTCCAAACAAGTGTGTACGCTCCTCAGGGCTAGGGCTTGTACCTTTGTAGCTCCATGCCCAGCACGTATTAGGAGTTTGTAGCTGTTTAACAATTGAATTAATTTCTGTGTGTATGTCTGTCTTTCCCCTTTTTCTTCATTTTCTTCCTGCTCTCTTCATCTCTTCTTCTGTTTGTTAAGAGGTCATTATATTTACCATCTATTCTATTATCCAGTAGAAAGTTATGTCCCATATTCTTGATTTTAAAAGTAAATGAGTGGAATAAATAATACTTCTCAATTTTTGAAAACTAGTTAATTAATTAGATTTAAAGATTATATAAACTATATTTGATTTTTCTCCCCAGCTCTAAAGGCTGTTGAAAGACAAACATTTCCTCAGCTCTGAATAAAGACCCAGTTCTGATCACCTAATAGAATTATCTGTTGAAGGAGTTCGAATCTAAATTATTAAATAAGCAGAAATAATTTTCAGTTTTAGTGGTAAAAAAAATAAAATGTTTCTAAAGTCTACATGTCTTCATTCATGTTTCTAGCTTAGAATACTCCTTTTTCGGAGTAAATGTACTGCTGTCAAAATTTAACGCGACACTATGTTGCTAACCCCATAATCTAGTCAGTGTATGATTTAAAAAATAGAATCAAGAAAAATACATAATCACATGCTCACCATTCCTATCTCAGTGTGAATTCCAGACATTGTGTCAGTTATTTTAAAGTCTTGTTGTCCAAATAATTTTTCATCCTTTAAAAGAAACCTAGAAATGCCCCTCAAATTGAAAAATCTACCAATAGTTACATTATTTAACTAAAGAGCACATTTAAGTAATAATTTAAAACTAAGGAGTTTTGACATAATAAACATGCTGTATTTTCATTGATTCAGTTGAAAGTTCACAGAATCTTGGCTTTTTTGCTTAAATTTGCATTTTAGCATTATTTTAAATATATTTTGCACAAGTAGAAAATAAATAATTATTGTTTTATTAATTGGGAGTTAGGGAAGTACTAGGTTGGTGATACATCATAAATATTCAATGAAGATTTTGAAAGTAAATTTTAGTTTCTAATTTCCTAACACTTATTACTAGTCTAAAATTTATTTTGCAATTCACCATTTTGCCCTGTATGTGTTAGTAACATAATCTCATTTATGTCCTCTACACATTTCAGAAATTGTAACAACATGAATATAAATGGGGACATTGATTCTGACTAATCTTTCGATCTTTATCTCTTTGGTAAGCAGGCATTGATTTCTGACTTTTGAAGATGGATGAAGGCGCAGAAATTTCAAGTGATGGAAATTCCCTGATTAAAGCGGTCCATCAGAGCCGGCTGCGCCTCACAAGACTCTTGCTAGAAGGTGGCGCCTACATCAATGAGAGCAACGACCGTGGGGAAACACCTTTAATGATCGCTTGTAAGACCAAACATGTTGATCACCAGAGTGTCAGTAAAGCCAAAATGGTTAAATACCTGTTAGAAAATAATGCTGACCCCAACATACAGGACAAGTCTGGGAAAACTGCCTTGATGCATGCTTGCTTAGAAAAGGCTGGCCCTGAAGTTGTTTCCTTGCTCCTAAAGAGTGGGGCGGACCTCAGCTTGCAAGACCATTCTAGTTACTCGGCCCTCGTGTATGCTATAAATTCAGAAGATAGAGAGACCCTGAGAGTTCTGCTTAGTGCTTGCAAGGCAAAGGGGAAGGAAGTCATTATCATAACAACAGCAAAATCGCCCTCTGGCAGGCACACTACCCAACAGTACTTAAATATGCCTCCTGCGGATATAGATGGGTGTCATTCCCCAGCTGCCTGTGCCACTCCTTCAGAAATAGACATAAAAACAGCCTCATCGCCACTTTCACATTCTTCTGAAACTGAAATGTCACTCTTTGGCTTTAAAGACCTGGAGCTCTCAGGAGGCAGCGATGATACCCGGGACCCAGGCTCCCCTGTTAGGAAGCCTACTCTGGCCCTTAATGGGCCCAAGCTACCCCAGGCTCCAGCCTGGATCAAAAGTCCCCCTTCATTAATGCACCTGAACAGAGTGGCCTCTTTGCAAGAGGAGCTCCAAGATATTACTCCAGAGGAAGAATTATCTTACAAAACCAATGGGCTGGCGCTTTCCAAGCGATTCTTCACTAGGCACCAAAGTATTGATGTCAAAGACACGGCACATTTGCTAAGAGCCTTTGATCAGGCCAGCTCAAGAAAGATGTCCTATGATGAAATAAATTATCAATCATTGTTTTCAGAAGGAAATCAGCAATGCACGGAAATCCCTGTTGACGAGGACCCAGACGCTAATCAGGTCATATTTGCTTCCACCTTAAGAAGTATAGTTCAAAAAAGAAACTCAGGGGCCAATCACTACAGCTCTGATTCCCAGCTCTCAGCTGGTCTAATCCCTACAGCTTTAGAAGATGGCAAAGCACTTACAGGAAAGAAAAAGATCCTCTCACCATCTCCTTCTTTGCTGTCAGGGTCCAAAGAATTGTTGGAGAATATCCCCCCAGGCCCCCTAAGCAGGAGAAGTCACGCGATTTTAGAAAGACGTGGTTCGGGAGCGTTCCCTTTAGAGCACAGTATTCCCCAAACCAGACCAGGATTTCTGCCACCCTTGAATGTGAATCCTCACCATCCCATCTCAGATGCCAATGTCAGCAAGATTCCCAGCCTTCTTTCTTGTGGTCAGAAGGTGCTTATGCCAACAGTTCCTATTTTCCCTAAAGAATTCAAAAGTAAAAAAATGTTGTTAAGGAGACAATCACTGCAAACAGAACAAATCAAGCAGTTAGTCAATTTTTAAGACATGGCTAAAAAACACATTTTGTTCATATGTCTGTATCAGAGAAATAGAGAACTAGAGAAGAAATCTCAAATGTTCATCCTTTTAAATCTTGTAATTGGTTGGTCCATAACGGTTAGGGGGAGCAACACGTACTGTGTATCATACTAGGCGCTGTGGACACACAGATAGTATATAGTTTCTAGTAAGGGAATTTTCTCAAACAAAATTAAAGCTATTTTTCTCAAAACTTCCAATATTTAGCAACTATGTGGTACAAGTGTTTAATAACAAAAGTCAGCAAAGAAAGAAGGTCATATATGTTGCAGATAACTTTAATTTTTTTTTTCAGATTTGTCAAATATTTTATTAAAAAATTGCTTTCAAATCAATTTTTTAAATTTCAATAATAAATAAGATTGTCATTTTCCGTGATGCCAAAAGCATAAATGAAAACATTGACAGCTATAAAATGTTCTATGATCTATAAGCTTAAACTACAAAGAAAGAAAGGACTAATTCTTCAAAAATGTTGACTGCAGGTAGGTGGAAATCTAAGAAAAATTTTCACGGTCAACCATTATAGTAGACTGGGCAGCTAATATTGATATTGTCAGCTTAATGTCCTATGGCACATCAGTTTTACATGCTAGAAATTATCTATGCCAAGTGTCTGTGTGCTGCTTTTTGCTTTATTTTGTTTATTAAACATTTAAACAAAATAATGTTATCTTATGGGATTCTTCTTTCTCCATATACTTTAATTCCTGTTATTATTTTTTTAAGCCTATCCATAGGTTCCCAATAAGATAGCATAAAAGTTAAAAAGCATTGCTCTTTACTTATATCAAATTATTCTTGTCTTTCTAAGAACAACCAAAAAAAAATCTAAACGTTTGGGTTTTATCACAAATAGAAACTAAATGCTTGCTTCACTTTAGAAAAGAAAAATATGATTAGATTAGCTTAGGTGAGCTGAAATTAAGAAAGCCAGTAGAAACTAATTATAAAATGTACTAAATATTCAGTCAATGTTAAACAACAATATCTTTTTATTTCGGATATATAATTAGACGTTTCTATAATAAGGCTTTATAAGGATAATTTCCTTAGTGTGACATTCCAATCACGTAGTATTTTAGGACCTGTCAATAATTTCTAACAAACATACCATGCTATCATAAAATGACTATATTATCTGTATCATTTCAAAATATGGTGTTTATACAAAGAATCCTTTTATCAATCTAGCAGTTTACAACAAAGAATAAATCAAACTATAAAACCTGAATGTATTTATTTGATGATTGTCATATACAACTTTATTTTTTGCCTTTTATCAGTACAGGAGATCATAACAATTGGCATGATGCTTTTCTTAGTAATTTGATATAAGCAAGTTGTAATGTAGATAGTAATAAATTTCTTGTGGCTTTTATTTGAAAAAAAAATGGAAGTGTTCCATTTAATGTTTTGAAGAACAGTAATATTAGAAATATTTTTTGATTCAGAACTTAGAATTATACGTGATGTTTATAGGTAGCTAAACCCTTTTTGAAAGTTTCATTATTGAGAAAAGAGCTTGACTTTAAGTTGTAAGGACACAGCTTGGAAGAATATGTAAATAGATTAGTTCATGAACAAAATGGTATCAATAAAGATTTAAAATGTCACTTTGATTATCACTGTTTTTTATTTATCTCAAATACTAATGATGTTTCAACATAATCTCTAGAAATTGTGCCACATGTTACTTTGAGTAAACAGAAAACTAAGAAAGAGTAACTTTTGCTGCTATTCTCATCCCAACATGGAAAATAATATTTAATAGGATTAAAACTTTGTTGGCCATATTTGGAAGCGTTTTTAGTCATCTATCAATCCTAAGAACACTTAGGGCCTGAAGTTGTGTGAGCTTTTCACCCTTAAGTGGACTGTATCACTGGCATCCCAATGATAAGTCACAAATGTTTGCAAAAGGAATCAGATATGTATGTTCAGACTTTTTAAATTAGCTCTTGAATTCACAAAGTAGCAACAGACTCTTTCAGCCAATATTTTAATTAATTTTGTAGAACTGTTACCCCAGGGAAGGGATAAAGAAGAAAGGGGCAATGTCCAGCCTTAATGAAGATTCTACAGTGGCAACCAAAGCCAGAACAGCTCAGCTGCCAGATTTAGCCAGGCTGGTCCCTTTCCAGAGCAGAAGCATAGAAATGAAAGACAGAAATGCAGAAACAAGACAGGAGGATCCTTAGAGGCCAGGAGGCTGGGTGAGCCTTTTTCAAGCCCTGTTTTCTCTCTGCTCTGATGGTGGGAATGTGGGGGTAGTTTCATTGTTTAAAATTTTTAAATAATTTAAAATATGAAGAAAAGTAGCAATTTCTTGGGAGGGTTCTTTAAGAAACTGGTAGAATTAAATAAAGCAGAGCATCCTTTCTAAAGTTAGAGTGGGGAGGTGAGTTCAGGGCCAGGCAGATGGGGGTTTCATTTTTCTTTGCAAGTTGGTATAAAGTAGCAATATCAACTAATCACTGAGAAATATAGCTACACCTGGCCTCTGTCCTATCCTGACTGGGTCAGTAGCACCACCTGACCCTGGTTACTGAAGCCAAAAATACATATACTATTGGGTTGTCAGAAAAGTCATGATGCATTTTTGCAATGAAAAACATAGAAACAATACGTCATGACTTTTCCGACAACCCAATAGACTCTTCCCTCTCCCTCATCCTCCCCATTCAACTAGTTTAAAAACTCTTCCAAGTTCTTTCTTCTTAGAGTTTCCTCTATTTCTTGAGACTTTCCATCCCCTGTTGCTACCACCTTCATTCAGGGCTTCATCTCCTTTCAAGAATTCGAACTCTCCTCCTGCCATTGTAATCACCTTTCTCATACTCAAAACTGATAAGAGCTTTCCCTGCTTAAATGATGTGGTGACTCCCATGACCTACAGAAAAGGAGCAAACTGCTTAACACGGTAAAGAAATCTGGCTCCTGCCTAAATGTCCTGCCCAAAGCACGATGCCTCCACAACTCTACTTGAGCAGATCAGATCCGGCTCTTGCCCACTGCTCATGTGCCTCTGCCTAAAAGGCCCTTCCCTCTAAGTGTATCTGGTGAATCTCGCTCATTGTTCAAGACACAACTTAGGTGTTTTCTCTCAGAACAGACTGCTGTCTCTTACCACAACCTGATGTATGTTTCCATCATAGTAACTACAGCCAATAGACAATTTACCGTGTACAGGTCTCTCGCTACTAGATTGTAAGATCCTTGAGGTAGGAATCATTTCTGAATTACTGGCACAGCCTCAGCACAGAAGACACCACTCAGATGCCTGCCCACCTCCCTCGCCACAGAGTTCCCAACTGGGCCATGAAGTCCTGTCATGTGTCTCCCTCATGAAAGACACAAGTGACTGGACAAATGGTGGTCTCTGGACCAAAGAATGGTGGGTACAAAGAAACAGAAGCCATCACAGTGAAGAGGAAGAGTGCCGTGTGGGACAGTAGAACAAAGGCCCCGAGCTCCTGCTGCCGAGGTCCCTGGGGCTCCTGGATCCGCCCTGCTCCTTCCGAGACTTGGTTATCAACTCCTCCTGGTTTCACTTATCCGTTCTACTCCCATTTCTAGATAAAGTCTTGAGCACTACTACCCTCATCTTTCAACAGTCAGCTATTTTCCTTGCATTGATTCATGAATTTATGGTTATAAACCCATTGTAGCTTCCAAAAAGGTAGGTTCACATCTTAAATTTCAAGGTGAGATACAGATAGCATTTTTCTACCTATTCACTAGGTACTTAATTTTTTTAATTACAAGGAAAAAAATCCAAGGTCCTAGCTCCAACAAATGATTTAAATAAACAACCTGTTCTGAATAACTTTTAACAATTTCCCACTGGATAAATAAGTACACACCTGGCTAATTAGCAATTACATCACTCCCACAGAACCATAAACTACTGTACTTTTAAAAGCTTTGATTTTTTTGAACAATTGGATCTCATACCAAAGTCTCTTGTAGGGCTAAGACTGCTCAGCCAGGCTTGGGAAGTAATTCTCAAATGCTCTGGGATCTCAACACCAATACATTCGTCCCAAGAACCCAGAGGGGGAAAGGTAGGTAGTACTTAACCTTTTACTTACTTCGTGTTTACAAATGTCTTCCCAAATATTTCCCTATGTATATAAATGCACAGACATACAATTTTACATAAATAGTATAATACCATACATCTGTTTTGCAAACTGCAGTATGTTGTAACACCTTTCCATATTAATAATGTAGATTCTCAGTGTCTACATAGCAGTGTATGCATTCTTGTACATTAAGGCCTTTAAAATAATAATAGTATTTAATAACCAAATTTCAAAGTGTCTGGTCAAGGCTTTCGCTCTTTTTTTTTCTTTTTAGCTGAGCCATCCTGCCACCTTTTGGCAGCTTAGCAGCAGCTCAGCTCAGGCAGTGAATTCAACCAGCGACCCTGTTGCTCAGAGCTCACACTCTTGAGTGAGCGCTTAACCACCTGAGCCACTTGGCTGGCCCTCTTTTGCTCATTTTTAATTGAGTTGTTCAACTTCTTTTTAAAAATCAGTTTATAGTTCTTCACAGATTCTGAGCCCTTTGTCAGATATGTGTTAATAAACCTCCCCATCAGTCTTTTCTAAGTGTTTCATAATTTTAGCTTTTACATTTAGGACTAAGATCCAACTCAAATTATTATTTGTGTATGGCGTGGAGTAGGGATCATTTATTTATTTATTTATTTATTTTATTTTATTTTTTTTTAGATGAGCCATCCTGCCACCTGTTGGCAGCTCAGCTCGGGCTGGGACTCGAACCGCTGTTGCTCAGAGCTCGCACTCTTGAGCGAGCTCTTAACCAACTGAGCCACTCGACTGGCCCAGGGATCATTTTTTTCCCATATGGATATCCATTAAAATTTTACTTTTCAACAGAATATATTTTATAAGTCTCATATATTTTTGTTCCTGAGAATATTTTAAAATACACCTTTAAATCTTAGTCTAAGTGATACTCAGTTAATATATTTCTCAATATAAAAGAATTTTGCCTTAAGACTAATATTTTTAAAAATATTAAGGATAAGATAATCAAGTAGTAAAAATAATATGAACAAATGAATTTTACTTTAAACTTCATTAAAATGCAGTCCATTTATAATTCAACTCTTTATAAAAGTATATCATGATTATTTTAGAAAATTTATAAATTAAACTTTTACTATAATTTTAGAGATATTCTTTGTTGCAATTGTTAAAATTTTATAATTATGAAATTTCACCTTTTGTTTTTAGCAGACAACCATAGAAAGTGAAGTTTTAGTACAGCATAGGGAATATCGTCAATAATATTGTACTAACTATCTATGGTGTCAGATGGTACTACACTTATCACAGTGGTCACTTTTAAGTTATATAAATGTCTAGTAACTATGTTGTACACCTGAAACTAACATAATATTGTATGTCAACTGTAATTGAAAAAAATTTTAATATTTTAAAAAAAAGCAAAGTGAAGTTTTACATGTTGACAATATTGCATTCAGTTGGAGCTAAAATTTAAAGTAGAAATATAATTTTTAAGTATTTATATGTCTACAATGTTTCATGTTATATTTCTTACATCTATCTATCTACCTACCTACCTACAATGGCTATGAGCACTTGCTATGTGATGAGCACTGAGGTAGATGCTTCTCTTACATCAGTCTCCCTTAATCTTCACAACCCTACAAGGGAATCCTCAATTTACCCACCATTTTATAGATAAGAAAACCAAGACTCAAGGAAATTAAACATTTTCACAAATCTGTAGCTAGTAAGGGATAGAGGCGGGGCTATAAGGAAAGTCTGTCTGAATTAAAAACCCAAGCTCCTTTCTCTAAATAGAACTACTTTATTCTCTGGGAGAAAATAGTCGATAAACAAAAGGTAAATTACATATTTTAGGATATTCACAGGTAAATTATTTTTCAATAAATCAAAGAAGCAGCATGTTTTTCTTAATGTCTTACTCAGGACTATGCCAGGTACTATAAAGAACAGTTAAGAATGCTCCATTATTGGGAGGCTGGTTAGCTCTGGTGGTTAGAGTGCGAGCTCATAACATCAAGGTTGCCAGTTTGATCCCCACATGGGCTACTGAGATGCGCCCTCCACAACCAGATTGAAAGATTGAAACAACTACTTGACTTGGAGCTGATGGGTCCTGAAAAAACACACTGTTCCCCTTCCCCAATAAAAATCTTTAAAAAAGAATGCTCCTTACCATGGCTTACTTTATGATCTAGCTGAGGAGACATAACTAACATGTATTATACAATCAGTGAACAGTATTAAATAGTTAAAATTAACTGTTAAAGTAAAATCTAGAGACCACTGATGCATGCATTTTTGAAATGAAGGACTGTGTTGGAGGACAATAAGCTGACTTTCAGAGTGGGACTACATTATGAGGATATAGGGCCTTAAAAGAGAGAAAATCAATGAAGTAGAATTTAGGAAACCCCTGGAGGTTTTTGATTTGGCATAAATGAAGAGGTGTTTTTAAGCTTTTTCTTCAGCGAAATACTCAGGGTATCTCTGAGTAGAGTGTGAAGAATGAAGTCATGAAGAACTAGTTCTTTAAACTCTAGTAGGAGAACAAGGCCTGAACTAAGGTGGTACTTACGAGAAACTTGAAAATCAAATTATAAGTTTCCAGGATTAAAATTCTCCTCTCCAATACTATTTTGTTCACTATAGAGAAGATACTATGATTGAAACAAAGAATACAAAAATACACACAGCTGTCGTATGCTCCCAACAATATGGAAATTCTACATCCATCTGATTAAATCTATAATGTTTTCAGTAAAAGGATTTGATTTTGTTATGAGAAAGCTTGTTCACGCCTGTGAAAGTTAAAAAAAATTTTAAGCCTTCTTATTCTTTTGTAGTCTCTGAAATAACCAGTTCTTCAGGAAAAGGAAAGAGGGTGCCATGTTTCTGTGGAATCTCTGGAAAGCAAGTGCCAAAAAAATGTGATTTATACCTGTTTTATGACACATGGATTCCTTCATTTATCTTCAGTATATCAAAATTACTTTTTATAAAGGGTATTAAATTATCATTTTCCTAAATTACTATTAGACTAGGCCTATTGAAATTTCTTCTTTCCAAATCTTTTAGATAAGTATTATAAGAACATATGTCTAATACGGTAAGTATTAGGCATATAGTCAATAAGTATTTTTGATTGGATGAATTAGAGCACAAATCAATCATCATAATTTATAAGATAATTAATTTAGACCAAAGCGGAGAAGGATTACAAAACCAAAACACAAAATAATTTAGAAGAATCCTCTTAGAGATTAACTTTTGAGTCCAATGGCTTGTTTAAATTCATGATTTTGTGGTTCCAAGATGTCATAGAAAACTTGCTTTCTGTCGAAATGATCTCTAATACAAAGTAAATCTTCAATGGAATAGTTATCATTTTTTCCAGTCCAAACAGTCAGGCTGTACCTGCATTAAAATAAAACAGTTATATAGTTAAAAATGAAAGATAAGAAATAGTGATGATGAATTCCAATAAGCCTAAAAATAGTTACTCTCATTTGTCTATAACCCAAATCTACACAGATGAACAAAATTAATTAGCAATAGTGGAACTATACTTTGTTTCATTCCTTCATCAATGTCAAAGGGACTAGAGAGAAAAAAATTCACATTGCTGTTGCTAAATTAGGTAACTGCTTATCTAAATTACAGGAATGTTAAATGGCTTTAGAAACCCAGACTGGGTAGCACTGAAAATGAGCCAAATTTTGGACAAAAGAACTGAGGAGACTGTACTGCAGATCAAGGAATCTATTCTCTACACAAAAACTACAGCTCTAATCTGGGCTTCTTCAGTAGCCTCACCAGAATCAAAAGCACAACTGGAAGGCACTGTGAAGTGACAAAAATGTCACTGACATTCCCAACATTCATATTCACTTATAAGTGGCCCCAATATCCCTTCTGGGGGGTTTTGTATGAGATACAAGAATGCCAAGAGATGCCACTAAGAATGCCAAATGGAATAAATTCAGATCCATTTATGGAGTTAAAAAACAATAATAATATAGGCAGATTTATTATGGATATAAAAATATGCTCAGAATTTTGTTATTTAAATTGTATATTTTCATTTCTTCTAGTGACATTACTATTAAATTACCCTTATTGCATTGGAGTCTAGGGAAATGCAAAGCTATTAAGTAGTTTCATATTTATTTTCCCCATAAACTGTCAGACTCCAGGGGGAAATCTCCAAAGCATTTTTTTTTACTACTAATAAAAAATACTCTAACCAAGATACATATTCTTGTTGTACTGACACATTCCTGTCCTAAGGACAGTGACACCATTCTAGGAATGTAACAGATGAAAGTACTTTGGATTTTCTTCCACAGAAGTATTATGTGACAAATCAAAAAGAATTTTAAAATTATACCTGAGAATGCAAAAAAAAAAACACCTGAGAATTACTTTAAAAACCTGTATTTTTGCTAAAATGGCAAACTGTATTTGAGCACCATGATGACAAACCTTATAAAAAGACACAGATATGAATTTAGGTTAAAAGAAGAGTATTCTGAGTATTATTTTGCATCTTTTAATCTTCCCTGTTGTATTTAAGCTAATATAGGAAAAATAAAATTGTGTAAGGGTTTCTTAAACTGTATTCATCCAAATCAATTCTCAGGTTTTATTTTTAAAGTCCTTTTTATTGTGAAATAACATATGTAGAAAAAAAACGCAGAAAACATAATTGTACATTTTAACCAATTATTATAAAATGAACTCCAGTGTAACCAAAAAACAAATCAAGAGAAAGAACATCACGAACACCTCTAGAAGCACCCAGATGTAAGTGCTCCTTCACCACCTCGCCTCTCCCTGGAGTCCTCACAACCTTGACTTTGCTGGTAGCCATCTTGTTGCCTTTCTTTATTTACCATCTACATATCCATCCGTAAACAATAGTTTAATTTTTACCTGTTAATAAATTTTATATAAATAGAATCATATGGTATATAATATTATGTTTGGTCTTGCTTCTTTTGCTAAATATTATTTGTGAAATTTATCCAAGTTCAAATATGTAGCTACAGTTTATTCATTCTCTTTAGAAAACAGTTTAGCATTATCTACTAAAGTTGAAAATATGAATACCCTATGATCTAGAAACTCTATTCCTAGAAATTCCCTTCTGATATAACCTTTGTAAATGCAGGCACATGTGTGCCATGGTGGGTGTGTCTGTGTGTGTGTGTGTGTGTGTGTGCGCACGCGTGTGTGTGTGTGAATGTTCACAGCAGCAATCTTTGTTAATAGCCAAAATCATGAAACAATCTAAATGTCATTCAGTAATAGAACAGATAATAAATTGTGATAAACAAATAATATAAAGATAATTTTTCATAAATTCTGTATTAGAGCCCTTTTGAGTTACAAAAATTTCCTCCAACTCTGTGCCTAACCTGTTCATGCTCTGAATATCTTTTGATAGAAATAATTTCTGAATTTTAATGTATTCAAATTACTGAAACATATCCTTTATAGCTAGTGATTTTTGTGTCTTGCTTAAGAATTCTTTTCCATCCCAAACATTATGAAGATACTCTCTAGTGATATACTCCATTGAAGCTTTGTTGTTTTGCCTTTCATATTTAAAAACAAAATAAAACTCTGAAAGAGATGGAGTTAAAACTCAAAATTAAGGCTAGAGAAAAACAGATCAACAACTACAAAATGCCCAACAACAACAAAGGAGAGCTAGACAGAGAAGTACAAGATGCCATGAGCAATGCCATGGAGACAAAAGACAAGGGCGTTTCAAACTGAAGTACTTAAATGTTAGAGAGGTTAAGAATCTGACTTGAACAAAATGTGATCTTCCAACAAGAAATTTCAGGCAAGTAACTGACTGCATACGAAGTGGAAGATGAGGAAACTGAGGCAGTAGATAATGAAAAAAACAGGATAGTAGAAACATCCTATATGAACATGGCAGCCTGAGTTTAGAACTGCCTCCTTTTTCTTGTAGGAATCATCCAAAAGCTGCAAACAGAACGAAATAATGAAATAGAAACCCCATCTTCATTGAAATTAGAAAGAGCTAAAACTGCAAATTATAAAACAGGTGAAAAAGGTTTCCAACAGCAATAGCGATTAAAGCCAAATGGGTACTGGGCCGACCGAGTGGTGCATTGGTTAAGAGCTGGCTTGGGACGCCAGCTCTGAGCAACAGGGCCCTGGTTCGGATCCCACATGAGGGCCAGTGACACTGTGCCCTCTACAGGTAAGATGGTGAACAACAGTTCGACCTGGGGCTGGGCTGCTGTGAGTTGCTGGCAATGGCGTAAGCTGTAGCCCCTGCTGCAGTGGGCTGCCATAAGCTACTGTGTGTGGCAAGCAGCCTGCGTGAGTGGCCAGCAGCTGGCATGAGCTGCCAAGAGCCACCGTGAGCGGCCATCCAGAGGCCGGCGACCCATCTGCCTCACCTGGGAAGAGCGTAATGATAATACCAAAATGGGCAAGTGAAGCAACGTCCTCCACAACTAGACTGAAGAACAAAAGGACAACTTGTCTGTTCCCCTTCCCCCAATTCCCCAGCGCTGTTTCCCTCCCCAAATTCCCCAATAAAATCTATAAAAAAACAAAATAATAATAATAATTCTATCACCTAAATCCCTAAAAAAATTTCTTTTAAAACAACTTTTGAGACAAAGGAAAACAGCCACAATTGCAAAATATTTTAAATTAACAGTGATGAAAATTTACACATAAGTGACAATGAGATACAGCTAAAGCTGTGGTCAGAGAAAAAAAGTATAGGCTTAAATACTTATACTAATAAATATAAATATATTAAAAATAAAAATGAAAATAAATAAGTATCTAACTCAAGAAATGAGAAGAAACTATATAAGCAAAAAAAATTTTTTTTTTTAAAGATTTTTTTTTTTAATTGGGGAATTGGGGGATGGGAACAGACAAGTTGCTGTCCTTTTGTTCTTCAGTTTAGTTGTGGAGGACGTTGCTTCACTGACCCAAGTTGGCACCATCATTGCGCTCTTCTGGGCGAGGCAGATTAGTCGCTGGCTTGTGGACGGCCACTCACAGCAGCTGCTGGCCACACACGGTAGCCCATAGCAACCCACTGCAGCAGGGGCTGCAGCCTACACTGCCGCTGGCGACTCATGGTAGCCCAGCTCCAGGTTGAGCTGTTGTTCAGCATCTTAGCTGTAGAGGGCAGTGTCACTGGCCCTCACATATGTGGGATCTGAACCGGGTCCCTCTGGAGTCCCAAGCCAGCTCTTAGCCAATGCACCACTCGGCCGGCCCAAGCAAACATTTTTTTAAAGGCAGAAATTATTAAATCATAAACCAAAAAAATAAATAAATCCAAGTTCTTAAAAAACCTAATCCAGTTCTTAAAAGAGATACGTCACTGCCTAGTTTAATCAAGAAACAAAGAGGGAAAGATCAAATAAACAAAATTATGACATTATTTTAAAAACACAGAAGAAACTAAAAGAATAAGAAACTATTTTAATCATCTGAGTATAAATAAACTTTAAAACCTGTATAAGATCAACAATTTTCTAGGAAAATACATCAAAATTGGCTCCCAAAGAAATAGAAAAGTGAAATAGGCCATTTACTCCCTAAGAAACAGGAAAGGTTATGAGTTACGCTTTTCCCAAAGCATAAGGTTAGAGGGCTTCATAGCTGAGTTTACCAAAACTCAGGTATAGGCCATTTCAATATTATTTTTAATATCTCAGAACACATAAAAGGAAGGAAAGGTCTCTAGTTCTTTTTAATGAAATGTACATGACATTGATATCTAAAGCTGAAAAAGAAAAAAACCTATAGATTAATTTTATTTTCAAATGCAGAAATCCTAATTAAAATATGCAGCTGTACATTAAAAATAATAATTCATGATCAAGTGGGGTTTATTCTAGAAAAATGAGAATGGTTACATATTATGAAATATTAGTTTTTTTTATTAACAGATATAGGGAGAAAAATATGGTTATTTTCATAAAAACTGAAAAGGTATTTAGTAAAAATCCAATATCTACAGAAATACGGATACTTCTTTAATGTATGTGTCTGTTGCCCTTACTCGCGACAATATGGTGAATTATCAATCTGAGTCTTTTTCTGGATAATTTGTGAAAATTCTTTATTTGTTAGAATTCTTCACATCTGTCTGACATATGTGTTGAGGATACTTTATCAGAATCTTTCCATTTCTATATATTCAAATGTATCAAACTTTCCTTTTATAGTTTCTAGGTTTTATGCCTTACTAAGGAAGGTCTTCTCCATTCTGTATCTATATAAAAAATCATCTCGTTTTTTTCTTTATGCATTTAATGTTTGATGTTCAAGTCTTTAATTCATCTGGAATGTATTTTGGAGGAAGGACTCAGGAAAGGTGCTAGCTTTGTTTTTTCTACATAGTTGGCCTGTTGTCCCAACATGCATTATTGAACTTTTGCTCCAATGACTTAAAATGCCAGCTTTTTCCTATACTCAATTCCATGAATAGACTTGGGTTTATTTCTGTACTTTCCCTGTTATCCTACTGACTACTCTATTAAAGATAGTATCAAAACTGTTTTAATACTGTACTTCTGTAATATATTTTAATAGGTGGCCCAACTAATTTTTATTACATATTAAAATAAAATGTTTATATGGAAAAGACTTCTGAAATTATGATAGAATTCAGAGGAGAACAGTTTTATCCACTTATAACTTTTTGTGAATGTGGAACATAATGAAAACAGTAACAAACATTTACTGGCCATCTACTATGTGCAAACCCTCCTGTGAAGAATAGATGTTAAAGTAAGGTTTAAGGAGCTTCATTCTAGTGAGAGAGTCTGTATGCTTACAGGATCCATATTCATTCTTGCTCTCTCACACATCTTTCTGTATTCAGTATTCATCCTCTTTCTGTCTCTGTCTCTCACCCACTCACATGCACATGCACACACTATATTGTTAAACTTATACATACCTGTTTGATTTCTGTAACAGCCAGAGTAACTGAGAACAAGACTGCCTGATTAATGCTGCTCTGACAGGAAATGTTACAGGCTGATTCAGTTCACTACATATATATTCCATCTCTTTTACCATTGTCCAACTGTAACCTGAAAGAAAAGAAAAAAAATTTAACTTTTCTAATTGGAATCCTAAAAAAGTCAATTAAATTAAAAACTAAATTACCTATGACTAGGTCAATTCATGGGTAATTTATAAAAATTTGCATTTGGGTTTAGGGTGAATTAAAATACTACTTAATGCAAGAAAATGTTTTGAGTGGAAAATGTAGGTAAAAAAATTAAATCTAAAATCAATTTACTAATCTCTCAAGTGAGGGGAAAAAAAAGCAAATTTTGACACTGTATTTACTTTAAAGAGTCTACGGCTCTTAGGTACATCCTGATCATTAATATTCTCTATCAACTTAGATTTTGCATTTGTGTTCATTAAGTTTTCCAAGAGAAAGATGGCTGCTAGGTGTTTACTAGCTGTTTAAGTAATAATTATCTTCAAAATTTTTTTTGGTTAGTCCATATTTCTTATACATTTTACCTAAAATAGAAATCATGATAAAATTAAATTTTATATATGTGTTTTAAATCATGTTAAGATATTGTAGAAAACACAACTGCCTGTTTATAAACAGCTTCAGAAAAGAAATTATATATTTTAAATAACCCTGAACTCTATCAAAAGCAGGCTGTAAAAAGTATTGTTCAGTAAAGGTGCATTTTACAGAAATATGTTAGTTTAGCAACAAAATTTCTCATGAAAGAAGGGAAATGTCTGCTTTCCTTTAAAATCTGAAAAATTATATCTTTTTTATTAGAAAAAGGGACTGCTAACAGAAGCCATACTTATATTACTATAAACTTATAAACTGTTTCTAAAATCCATGGCATAAGAAGTAAGGGAGGATAAAGCACATGTTGACAATGACAAGAGACCAGTGCGAGCAATGCAGCCTGGAAACATTCAACACCATGACTTAGATGTGGTTTCATTCAGGTCAAGCCTGAGGACAAAGTCAGGGTTAAACTGTGACTAAAAGCATTTTAGAATCAGTCCGCAAGTTACTAAATTGTTTCTGGTTTACCTTCTTTAAATTATATGCTACATTCTTTAATGAAACTAATAAAAATTAAAATGATTAGAAAACCAAAATAGAACTAAGTTAAAGCATCTTGTTTTTTCTCTCAATTATATCAATTGCTGATCCAGGGGGCTATATCTTAAATGTCACTACTCACTAGATAGCAGCTATTCTAATCTCATGTTAGACTTAGAAGCTTTACATCTAAAAACAATAATAGCAAATTACATTTTTTTCTTTTTAAAAAATTAGTTTCAGGTGTACAACACAGTGCAATAGTTATACTTTTTACCCCTCAAAGTGACAAACCTCCTCACCCAATCTGCCGCCCCACTCCCCCCCATATTGTACATATCTATTACAATTCCATTGGCTCCACTCCCACACTATATTTCACATCCCGTGACTATATATATATTCACTTATAGTTGACATACAATATTATACAACATCAGCTTCAGGTGTACAGTGCAGTGATCAAGCCTCTACATCATCCATGAAGTGGTCTCCACAACAAGAACATGTAACCATCTGACCCCCTACAAAATATTTACAACATTATTAATTTTATTTCCCGAACTGTATTTCATATCCCTGTGGCAATATTGTAGTTACCTATTTATGCTTTCTAACCCCTTCCCCTTCTCCCTCATCCCCACCCCCGTCCCATCTAGAAACCATCAGTTTTTCCTCTATATCTCTGAAACTATTTCTGTTTACTTTGCTCGTTCATTCAGTTTTTTAGATTTCACATATAAGTGAAATCATATAGGATTTGTCTTTCTCCGACTGACTTATTTCACTTAACATAATGTTCTCTAAGTCCATCCATATCATTGCAAATGGTAGGATTTCATTCTTCTTTATAGCTGAGTAATACTCCATTGTGTAAATGTACCACAGCTTCTTAATCCAGTCATCTACCGATGGGCATTTCGGTTGTTTCCAAGTCTTGGCTATTGTAAATGGTGCTGCGATAAATAGAGGGGTGCATATATTTTTTCAAATTAGCATCTTGGGTTTCCCTGGATAGATACCCAAGAATGGAACTGCTGGGTCATATGGTAGTTCCATTTCCAGTTTTTTGAGATACCTCCATGCTGATTTCCATAATGGCTGCACCAATCTGCAGTCCCACCAACAGTGCACCAGGATTCCCTTTTCTCCACAACCTCACCAGCATGCAAATTACATTTAAATGTAATAGCAAATTACTACTAAAAACAATAATAGCAAGCAAAAAATGAATCCCTGAACACAGGACAAAAGCTGACATCACCGGAGACGGCGTAGGCTGCAGTGGGGTGGCCGGCAGCTGGCATGAGCTTTCGTGAGCTGCCGTGAGCCGCCGTCCAATGGCTGGTGAGCAACTGCCTCACCCGGGAAGAGCGCAATGATAATACCAACATGGACCAGTGAAGCCCATCTGTAGGAACACATTAAGGAAAGAAGGGATCCAGCCTAGAGAAGTATCTCATGTCACTCACTCCACTGTCCAGCCAAAGAGAGCATGAGGGCACCAAGGTTCCAGCAGCCTGCATTTGGAGCTCCTTCCAACATCGAGGGAGCAGAGCTTGTGCTCTTCAGCGACACTCCCCTACTTCCAGCCTCACATCACATGAAAAGCTTTTATTACTACTTCTTTATCTTTCATATGAGATAGGGAATTTGCTCCAAGGTAAAAAGAAAAAAACAAACAAGAAAAAGGAATATAGAATGTGTTACAAGTTCAAAGAGACCAATATAGGATTTGTTTAAACCGTGTAAAGAGGCATTATTCTAGACCTGCAAATAAATATTTCCTATGGAAGCTTGGTGACAGAAGGTCACGAATGAATGTAGTGTGTATCTGAAATAACAGAAAGAAGAGTTATACACATATCTTTAGGGCCAAGCCTTTCTCTCCATTAGGCTCTTAGTTTTTGTGGAATGTGTTTTTGGTTTTATATTCAAGGTATTTATTTTTATATTTGGAGTATATTTAATTTGAAAAAGAAGAAACATATTTTTTAAATTATTACCTTCGTTGACTTTCTCAGGATGCCATCCTGTTGTCCAACCCAGGGAAAATGTCACATCTGGAAAGAAAGATGTCACAGTGTCTATAAAAGGTTTTGCATCCACTACTCTGCTATTTCCATTTGGACCAGGAAGAATATCGGCATTAATCCACACAGGACGCGTCAGATGCCTCTTCACGTTTTCCAAGAGCATCATGGATGGTGCTACAGCTGCCAGACTAAAAACATAGTTTGTTGTCAAATTAAAGGAAAAAGAGGTTCTTTTAGACTTTTAATGTTCTCAAATTAATAATAAAAGTATAATACAATAATGCCTGAATTAAATAAAATCAAAGATCACGTGGCACCAGAGGGGAAAGTTAACATATGCCATCTCTCAATATGTTGGTTTGTACTTACTCATGAAGGTACCTTAAAGGTTCTATAAATATATGAATAATGCCACTTGTGGACAGATGGAGGTTTCAAAATTCTGAATTAGGATCACTCAGTATAAAATCAATTTAAGAAAAGACACAAATATTCATTCACCAGAGAATATATAAATAAGATTTAAAAATGAGATGCATTATAACCTGCAAATTCACATTTTTGAAAATAGCCAAAGTATACTTAGGCGCCATGTCTATAATACTGGCTCATGACCTTGGAGAAGACCAAGAGCCTCTTTTCCTTCGTGTATTCTTGTCTGAGTCTGGATGCATAAACACATTTCTAAAAATGATTGCAAAGTGTAAAATTATAACATTCCCTTAAGGCTTTTATAAACTTCATTTTTTTCCCCTTTACTGTAAATTCCTCTTCTGGAAACTAGAGACAACTACCTTTTAGTTACTTTTAAATAAAAAGCAGCTTCACTCTTTTTACTTTCCAACATCTAACTGACACCTACAGATTTTGAAACAATAAGGTTTTCATCAGCCCACATAATTTTTACTTTTAAAACCTGTATACGCAAACTTTACTGGAAAACTACACGACCTAATAATTCTGAACCGTTAAGGCCTACGCGCATTTTAAGAAAATTAACTTTTAGTGAATACTGTGATCGAAGGCTAAGGATCTGGGTGATGGGTGTTGGAGGTTGGAACCATCAGCACCTCCTCTCACACTACCATGCTTCTTCCTAAGGCACTGGAATCCTTCTGCCTTTGCCTCTACCGCTGTTCACGCCACTCCTTTTGGGCCC